CACCCTGTCACGCGCAATCCATACGTTATGCCAGGCTCTTCGTCATTCTGTCATGCGTGCCCGACATTGTCATTGGGGAGAGTGGCACGAATTAATGTCCTTTTTCGAGGCAGTGGCTGTTTCGGTCAATGCGGACGGAGGGAAAGGGAGGGAAGGAGGAAGGAAAGGAAAAGAAAGGAATAGGAGGAGAAAAAAGAAAGGAGGGGAAGAGGGAGGAAAGAGAAAGGAGGGGAGGAGAGGGGGAAGAAAAAAAAAAGGGAAGAAGGGGAAGGGGAAAGGAGGGAAGAAAGGGAAGGGGAAAGGAGGGGAGGAGGAAGGAAGGGGAAAGAAGTAGGAGGAGAAAGAGAAAGGAGGGAAGTAGGGAGGAAAAAGAAAGGAGGGAGGAGGGAAAAAGGAGAAAGGAGTGGAAGGAGAAAAAGAAAGGAAGGGAGGCACGAGGAAGGGGAAAGGACGGAGAGAACAGGAAAGGGTAGAGAGGGAAGGAAAAGATGAAGGAGAAAGGAAGAAGTAAAGGAAAAGGAGAGAGAAAAAAGAAAAGGACGGAGAGGAGAAGAAATGAGGGAGAGAGGAGAAGAAAGTAGGAGAAAAGGAAGGGAACGTAGAGGAAAGGGGAGGATAAAGAGGCAAAAATGGGGGGAGGTGATGATAGAGAAATGAGGGTGATAAAAGGGAGAATGAGGGGGAAGAAAGGAAGAGGCAAAAAGAGAGAGGAGAGAAAATAGAATGAATGGGAGAGGAGATGAAGATGAAAGGATGAGGAGGGGAAGGATAAGAAGAGGAGAGAGAATGGAAGAGGGGAAGGAAGGAAAGGAGAAGAAGAGGGGAAACAGAAGATGGCAAGGAGGAAGAAGGAAAGGGGACGAGAAGTGAAGACAGGATGAAGGAAGGAGAAGAGGGAAGCAGAAAGAGAGGAAGAAAGAAAAAAAAAGCAAAGAAGAAAATAGAAGGGGAAGAATGATAAGAGAGGAAAGGAGAGGAAGAAGGGAAAGAGGGGGAAGGAGGAAGATAGGAGGAAGAGGAGAGAAAGAGAGGGAAAAGACTGAAAAATTTGAAGAAGAACGAAAAGGAGAGAAAATAGAAGAAAAGTGACGAAGACAGAAGAGGAAGAGGGGGAAAGTAGGATTAGGTATAAGTACTATGATGTATATTGTCCTGCCTCGTTCTGTTGCCCGTTGAATTCTTTATGAGGGTTTGTGGATCTCCCTTGTAAAAGTTCGTGTCCTTCATTGTCGAGTTATTTCATGTATATGTGGCCACACACACACACACACACACACACACACACACACACACACACACACACACACACACACACACACACACACACACACACATATATATATATATATATATATATATATGTATGTATATATATATTATATATATATATATATATATATATATATATATATATATATATATATATATATATATATCAAATTGTGTGATATCAAAAGGCTGAATATCCTGACTGCTTGCAATTTGCTTTCATATATCTATGGCTTGCACATTTCTAATTATACCATATTTCTTCCGTGATTGTGGGTTGGAACAACGCATAAATCTATAAATAAACATAACTACCACCTAGAGCTCTAGAAATGCCTTCTCAGTACATATACGCAGAGCCTTTTTTGTTGTCACGCCCCACTGTCAAGAACTCAATAGAAAACGGGAATCACCCATAACCAGAACAAAGCAAGGCAACACTACGCTAAACATATCTATATGGCTAACTCTGTTGTTCTAGCAAACTAAAGTTCCGTATATACTAGGACCCGTAATAATGCTACCCATAAGTGTGAATTTACATATATTATATCCATTTTTTCGATGTATCATATCCAAAAGCGTGCCATGATTAGGTGTGTATGTGAATTAAAAGATATTGATAAAGCAATTTTAGCATGAAAGGAACAAAGTCAGCATGAATAAGCATCTTTCCCACTCTGTACCCCCCACCCCCCATCTCCCAATTTCAACCAGGAGATCAGGAACTGTTAGATTTATTAAAGAATTCACTAGCGTCAGAAATTGAGTGAAGTACAGAGGTAAGAAAATCCTGTAAGGCGAAAGTGATAAGAATAGTGAGTTTCTGTTTAGAAAGTGTTACCTACCTACCTGATGCCAGAAATGCCGAACACTTACATTTTAATATTGTCGAAAGAGCTATCTTACTTCAGAATTTCGTTGGAATCCATAGAATTATCACTGGGTTAGAACCAATGCAGCCATACATGTGTGTTACAATGTTCCAACTAGAACTGTGAGCTTATAACACTGGAATCAAAACAAGTGATGCAAAAAGTTCCTTATTTGGGGTCCAATGTTTTTATTTTCGCTGCATGTTTGATAAGGATCTGCATTTTCATATACTTTATAATTGACTAACTGGCGGGGAGGGAGTAAGTATGTGCGTTTATACAACTGTATGTATGATTACATGTGTGTCTGTTGCATTTATTTTCGATTCACAAGGCGATAGTCGTGGATTCACAGAATAACCAATGGTCAAAACAAAAAAATGTGCCAGACATCAAAGGTCACACAGCATTATGACAAAGTACTGTAGCGTAAAGAATAATATTTGGTTAACGATTAGAATAAGAGGACAGAAGAAGGGGATGAAGAAGAGAAGGAAACGAAAAGAGAGAGAAGAAAAGACCATGTAAAAATAGTTGAGGCGCGGACCGAAGACCAAAGCAGGGCTGATCCCCTACATCGGGCCTCAGTCTCCGTCTCCTAAGCCCTATCGATAACAACGAGCAAGGCATTAGGGCGGGGGGTTGTATAAAGAAATCAGTAAATAAGCAAGAAGGTTAGTTGATCGTATGGTTTTTAAATAATACATGAAAAATGGTGGAGATGTTTAAAGTATTTTGAAGAAAGGAAAACTTCTCTGTGGTTATTTTTTTCTAAATGTGTTTATGTAAGTATGTGTGTTTATACGTCTGTGTGTATGATTACATGGGTGTCTGTTGTGTGTATGTCTTTATTTTGTGTGTAAACGTACGTATGTATAATTTACGCGTCTGTGGTTGCGCGTTTACATGTGTTTACGTGTTGTCTTGGAGACCCAGTGACAGTGACTATCAAACTAATTCTAGTTACTTGACCAAAGAGTGACGTCATCAACTAGGTCGATGTATAGAATTAGTCTTACTGAGTGTTTGTATAAATGATATTATTATTGTTGTTTTCTATATTTTTATTAACATAACCATTATTATCATCATTATTATGTTAATGATAATAATAAAATTAGCACTAACAGTAGTAGTAGTAATAGTAGTGGTAATTGTTGTGGTCATCATGATTATCATTATCATTTTCATCATCACCTTAACGATTCCATCCACTCGTCATTCCAGCCATTTACTCACATCCGTCCTTCTTCTTCTTCTAATCCTAATTTCCTTCCCTTTCAGCAATGTCCCTCGCTTCCCTGCTAGTTCTGTGGGCGTGGGCGGGCGTGGGCGTGGCTCAGGACGCCCGTGTGGAGGTGGAGCTCCGTCAGGGTCGCATTTCCGGTGCCAGCGAGAGGGCCGGCTGGGGAGGGCGGTGGTACGGCTTCAGGGGCATCCCTTACGCTATGGCACCTGTGGGGGACCTGCGATTCAGGGTAAGGTGAGGAGGGGAGGGAGGGGAGGGGAGGAGAGGGAGGGAGAGGAGTAAAGGGGAGGGTGGAAGGAGGGAGAGGGGGAAAGGGAGGGAGAGGGAAAAGAGGAGTGGAGAGGGGAAGGAGGGAGAGGGGGAAAGGGGAGGGGAGGAGGGGAGGGAGGGAGAAGGGGGAAAGAGGGAGGGAAGGGAGGGAGAAGGGGAAAGAGGAAGGGAGGGGTTAGGGAGGGAGAGGGGGGAAGAGGGAGGGAGGGAGAAGGGGAAAGGGGGGAGGGGTGAAGGAAGGGGATGGAGGGGAGGGGGAGGGGGTGAAGAAAGGGAAGGGGCATTAGACGTTAAATAAAAAGAAAGGAAGATTCTGTTTGGCGGTCCTGTGGATGTATAGCTTAATTAAACACACAAAATCAAATAAAAACAGTAATAACCCCCGCCCTTCGCCCAGGACCCACAGGCGGCCGGATCATGGACGGGCGTGAGGAACGGGTCCCTGGCGCCCCCAGTGTGCCCCCAGGTCGACGCCACTCCCGGGGAAGGTGGTGAGGCGGTGGTCAGCGGGGAGGAGGACTGCCTCTACCTCAACGTCTTTACGCCAGGGGTGAGCTTCGATTCGAGATTTCGTATTATTTTTAGTTTCTTATTTTATTTTTATTTTATTTTATTTTTCTATTTTGGCTGGAGTAATAGTTCGCCTGATCTGTTTCTTTTTTCTTTTTTTTTACAGTTGTGTCCCCTAACTACATATTTTTAGACTAAGAGAATGAAATATATTAATCTGTTTAACTCTATTGTACTACATAATTCCCTGAATATGAGGTTTTCATCTTATGTTCTTAGTATGTACACTAACGAACGCTCCGTAAACTGATGTACATTGTTTTCTAAAGAGGTTCTCGATCCCTCTGTTAACCCTTAACGACCAAAAGATTCGGCACAACTAATCTGTACCATGAACAGTGATGGTAAGGGAAAGCAACGCTAACCATAATAACTACAATCATAGCAACGATACGACGACTCTAAATTTCAACATTGCCAATAGTAATAGATCAAGAGAGAGAGAGAGAGAGAGAGAGAGAGAGAGAGAGAGAGAGAGAGAGAGAGAGAGAGAGAGAGAGAGAGAGAGAGAGAGAAGAGAGAGAGAGGGAAAGAGAGAGAGAGAGAGAGAGAGAGAGAGAGAGAGAGAGAGAGAGAGAGAGAGAGAGAGAGAGAGAGAGAGAGAGAGAGAGAGAGAGAGAGAGAGAGAGAGAGAGAGAAGAGAGAGAGAGAGAGAGAGAGAGAGAGAGAGAGAGAGAGAGAGAGAGAGAGAGAGAGAGAGAGAGAGAGACAGAGACAGAGAGAAAGAAGAAAGAAAGAGAGAGAGAAAGAAAGAAGAAAAAGAAGAAGAGAGAGAGAAGAAAAAAAAACAATGCCCTGTTTCCTCGCCTTCAACAGCCCTTCTCCTCGGACTTGCCTGTGATGGTGTGGATCCACGGGGGGGCCTTCCTGGTGGGGGGCACTAGGGAGTACGGCCCCCTCCCCCTCCTCACCAGGGACGTGGTACTGGTGACGCTGCAGTATCGCCTCGGCACTCTAGGTCAGGTTGGACTTGTGTTTGACCTTTGACCTTTGAGTTTCTACGTTATGATATTTTGGTGTGGATTTTTTAATTTATTTATTTAATCATTTATTTATTTATTTATTTCTGCATTTATATCCTTTTCTTGTTTCGTTCAGGATTCTGCTCTATCTTTTATTTTAGAAATATAAAGAATAATAACTGTATTGTATTGTACTGTTATGATAATAAAGTAAAATATGAAAATAATAAATGACATATAACCTTTAATATATAAGAACAAAACCGTAAAATATGAGAATAAAACATTCTTAAAAAGTAAAATAAGAATATAATCATGCAAAACTACAAAATTGCAATTTGAGCTATTAATAATATGAATTAAATCGTAAAAAAGACAAATAGAATACGACCAGAGTATAAAAAAGTCAAAAATAAAGAGATAGATGAACGACATAATATTAATAAAAAATAAACTCATAATGCTAATAACTCTAATCTCTCTACAGGATTCTTATCCACGGAGGATTCTGCACTTCCCGGTAACCTCGGCCTGAAGGACCAGACGATGGCTCTCCGCTGGGTCAGGGACAACATCCGTGACCTCGGCGGCGACCCAGACAAGGTCACGATCTTCGGTCAGGGCGCCGGGGCTGCCTCCGCGCATTTCCAGGTGCTGAGTCCACAGGCTAAAGGTAAGGCGTGTGTGTGTGTGTGTGTGTGTGTGTGTGTGTGTGTGTGTGTGTGTGTGTGTGTGTGTGTGTGTGTGTGTGTGTGTGTGTGACAAACTATGGAGAGGTACAAACAATCCCAAGTAATATTTCTGAATTGTGTTCCTTTGTTTCTGTTCAAAATATATCCACTTAACTTTCTAAAAACACATAAAAGGCCTGAAGAGACATTTCACATTTATAATATTCTTGACAATAACGATGATAAAACCAAATATTGCATTATATCTTCATTTACAATTGATCTTATCCCTCACGTTCTAACCAGGCTTGTTCCGTCGTGCAATCTTGCAATCTGGCAATGCACTTAGTCCCTGGGCACTGAGGAGAGATCACAGACAAACAGCCTCTGTACTTGACCAAGTGTTCAACTGTTCAGCGGCGAAGAACATTTCGAATAACAACTCTTCTCTCTCCACACCTGTCGACCTGAACAGCACTGCCCTGGTCGACTGCCTGAGGACGATTCCTTTTCAACAACTCGTGGTTATTCCGTCGGCCTTTGTGGTGAGGGCAAGACGGGTCATACGGGGGGGGGGGGGGTACAGGGAGAGAGAGAGAAAGGAGGGGGGTAGGAGGGAGGTGGGGAAAGGAGGAAAAGGGGGAAGGGAGGTGGGGGAAAGGAGGAAAAGGGGAGAGGGGAGATAGTGAGGAAGAAAGTAAGAGAGAGAGAGATAGGGAATTCTGCAGCATGAATCATCAATTCAGTGTTTCTAGCACATGTGTTTACATATACTTTGTATCAAACTGTGAACTAACTTAACTTGGAAATATTATTCTTCTATAAAACTTTAAACTAAATAAATGTAGATTAAACATTAGCAAATGTTAATATGAGGTTGTAAAGTAGATAGATTACATGTAAATTAAGTGACAGAAAACAAGTCCCAATTTTGGACCAACAAGTAAGAAAGTCAGTCACTGGGTTCCGCTTTAAATGTAGGCCCCAGAACGAGTGAATTAATTGCCGAGGCTTACATAAACGTGGGTCCTTTAAAAACCATGATTTGGTGTTTAATTTTCACAGAGTAAATTTGAGTTTAATATGGTTCATTACGTTGGTGATAATTCGTTCTAATATGGATACATAAAAAATAAAATAGATTCCTGGTAAATATTTGTGATTTGTGAAAGATTTTTGGCTTATGTTTGATAGAAATAATACATGTTATTTCCTGATGGCAAGCAATTTCCAACCTAAGCTACGAACTATAAAAATATTTTTTCATGCATGCTAGAAATAATATACTTAAAAAAGTCTAGCTGTTCTTAAATCCATTTTCTTTATTTTTCTTCTCCTTTTCCCTTTTTATATTCCTCACTCTTCTGTCCCCTCTCCCCCTCCCCCCTCAGAAGTGGCTCAGCATCCCCCAGGTGATGACCCCCCGCGTGGATGGGGCCTTCCTGCGCGCCCACCCAGCCTCGCTCTTGCAAAGTGGCCTTTATAACGAAGTCGATCTCATCTCTGGAGTGACGGAAGTCGAGGCTGCTCTGCCCGCCCTTGGTCAGTTCACTTCTGGTGTATTTTCTGTCCGTTCTCGGTGTGTTCTCTGTTATTATTGTTGTTGTATTCTCCGTTCGCTCTTGGTGAGTATATTGTTGCTGTTGTTGGTGTATTTTCCTGTCCTTGGTGAGTATATTGTTGCTGTTGTTGTATTTTCCCGTCCTTGGTGAGTACACTGTATAGTTGTATTCTCTTCATGCCCTTGCTGAGTATTCTGTTGTTATTTTTTGTCCATCGTTGATTAGTGTTCTCTTGCAATTGTTGAATTTTCGACTGGTCTCTTGCAAAAAAACTAGGGCTGTTGAATTCTTCAGCTGTCCTTTTCAAAAAACTCTAGTACCGTTGAATTCTCTACCCTTCCTTAACGTGTGTTATTGTGTCCTCTACCTGTAGTTGGTGAGTTATTCTACTGTTATCGTATTCTTTGTTCGCGTTTGAAGAATGCACCTTTGTTGTAGTTTTTATATATCTTTTCTCAGTGAGTATTCTGTTATTATAAGTGTTAATAACTGTCACTCTATGTTTTTGTTTTAAAAAATCTTACAAGTAATTCCATCTCTACTTCCAGCGACTCTCGACAACCCCGCCCTAAAGGAGGCCTTACTGGACGATTTCGCTTCAGTCGCGCCGGTACTTCTCGGCCTGGAGGGGGAGGAGGACCCTTTACCGCTGGCGAGGTCGGTCTTTGGCTCTTACCTTCCCGGAGCGCAGATTAACAAGGGCACGGTTCGAGGTCTGGCACAGGTAGGTGTTTTTTTCACTGATTTAGCATTGTGTTTCTGACTGGAGGATGGAGGAAAGGGAAGGGTGTTTGGTTGGTTGGTTTGAGCTGGTTATGTCATCAGGGTCAGGATTATTATCTTTACTATCATAGTTAACATTATCATCACATAAGCACAAAGGTAGTATATCTATTATGTTCACTTTTAACAAATTTAATATAACATAATTAACATCATTATACTGTATCCATTCTTTTCAGAAAAAAAATTAAAAAATGGGTTAAGAACAGCAAATTTCAATTTAAAAAATTAAATTACTGTATATAATTTTTTTTAAAGTACTACGTCCCTTCCTCAAAAAAAAAATAAAAAATGGAATTATACATTTCTGTCCACAAGATTTTTATTTTTCCTTTTTGTTGCATATATTTTTTTCAGCTTATTAGCGACGGGGCGTATAATGTACCAAACGCCGAATTGTTGCGACTCCATTGCAAGCGCGGGACAGGAAAAGTATTTACATATCGCTTGCAACATCGTGGTCTTGTTGGTGCAACCGATCTCTTCAATAGCTCCGTTGGATATATGTGTGAGTTTCCTTAAATCGTTATTGCTTATCTATTTATATGTTTATTTTTGCATTAGTTCAGACGTTTAGAATCATATTTGTTTTACACAGAAATAGAATCATAAACAAAATATCAATAATGATTTTAAAATTATGATAATTAAATGATGATTAAATAATAATGATAATGTTAATAATGATGATGATGATAGTGATAATGATATCGATAATCTCTTTATAATGGCCTTAACATAACAACTATTTAAAAAAAAAAAAATATTGGCAGGGGTTAGTAACGGCGACGATTTGAAGTACCTGTTCCGTGGAGGTCTTAGCCCGAACACGACTTCAAGCACAACCTTAAGGACGACCTTCCCTACCCTGGAGGCCAAGGCGGACCAGCGACTGAGTAACATGATGGTGCGGCTGTGGACCAACTTCGCCGCGACGGGGTAAGGTGGGGTGGGGTGGGGGGGGGGAGGTAAAAGGGGAAGGTGTAGTGGGGAGGAAAAGTTTAGGTTGAGTGGGAGGTTGCTTAGCTTAGTGGTAGAGAACTGGTTTTACCATCACCCGGTCTTGGGTTCGTGTTCCATTTCGGTTGAATTTGCTGTGAGTACTGGCTTCAGGTTGGGGTTAGAATTGCTGTAGAAAGTAATTGCAGTTAGGTAGGGGGAGGAGATAGGGGTGGGAGGGTGGAGAGGGTATCTAAACGAATTGGCTACTCTATTGAATAACTTTGTGGCTTAGTACATATATTCCTCTGCGATCGTGTTTCCTTAATCCACCTGGGCCAACTTCCAAATACTGCTACTGTGATGCGGCAGTTAGTATTCCTCGTGTAAGAGTTACGTAAGACGATTCTTTATTAACAAGTGACCATTGTGAAAGTGAGTATGTAGACATACCGATTATTAAGTAAATATTACCATTTCCACTCTGACATAGTTATTCTCTACTGTATTATGTTAATCACACTCTTGTGCTGACTTTCACAGTGTTCATAAAATGCTATTTAACAATTCCATGTTAACTGCCAGCTGCAACGCAATACAAGCTGTTCTTGGCACCCTCACATAAGTGTTATCAGGTGAAAAGAATACACGTAAAGAACTATACTGTTGACCCTCACATAACAGTGTTATCAGGTGAAAAGAATACATGTAAATTACTATGCCTTAAAAAGCCCTTTGTAGAAACCCCGAGAACAGATTTAATGAAGTTCATAATGAAAACAAGAAGAAGAAAAAATCGAGGTAAATATATGTATATTGATGAAGGAAAGGAAGAAGAGCAAGAGGAGAAGAAGACCTTTTCACCTGGCCTGGACTATACACATAAAAAAAAATCCGAAACCACACGCCCTACCACCTTTACAAACCCAAGAAATCGACTTCATTCCCTCCCTTACCTACAGATACCCGACGCCCGACCCTTTCTTAGGCTTCATGTGGGCGCCCGCGTGCCAGCCCACCCTTCCCTACCTCAGCCTTACGCCCGCGCCCTCGATGTTCACGGATGGAAACGCTCGGGTAACGTTCACTTGACTGTTTTTCTCTTTTTATCAAGATTTTGCCTTTTGGAATCCTGTTTCTTTCTCTATTTTTTATATTTCTCTTTGTTTTGTGTGATTGCTTGTGCTTAAAAAATAACTAATCTTTCCTCTCTTTCTCTCTCCGTCTTACCTTAAATAGACCTACACCTTCTGGAGGAGTTTGCCGACCCTAAGGAACCAGATCCTACGTCAGGAGTCCTTCAGCCCCGCCCCCTGGAGGCCGGAATGGGCGGGGCAAGGCTCCTCCTCCTGCGGGAGATGTTCTTCGGGTTTATTCGACTTGCTTTTCGGACGTCGGGGGTGAGGGGGGGAAAGGAAAGGGGGGGAGGGTTGAAGGGGGAAGGGGGGTTAGGGAGGGGAGTGAAGGGGGGGAGGAGGAAGGGGATGAGAGGGTAGGAATGGGAAGGATGGAACGGGGGTGTTGAAGAGGAGGAAAGGGGTTAGGGAATAGGAGGGGGGAGGGAAGTGGGTAGGAGAGAGAGGGAACCGGGTAGGAGGGGGGGGGGGAAGTGGGCAGGAGGGGGGAGGGAAGTGGGTAGGAGAGAGAGGGAACCGGGTAGGAGGGGGGGGGGAAGTGGGCAGGAGGGGGGAGGGAAGTGGGTAGGAGAGAGAGGGAACCGGGTAGGAGGGGGGGGGAAGTGGGCAGGAGGGGGGAGGGAAGTGGGTAGGAGAGAGAGGGAACCGGGTAGGAGGGGGGAGGGAAGCGGGTAGGAAGGAGAGGCAAGTGGCTGGGAGGGGGGAGGAAAGCGGGTAGGAGGAAGGACAGAGAGGAAGATGAGGGAAAGAGGAGGAGGACTGACTAGGAAAAGGCAAAGAGGGGAGAAGGAAGAAAGAGGAGTGAGGGAGAGAGCAGAGAGCGAGGAAGGGGAAGAAGGAAGAGGAAAGTATAAAGAGGGTGGAGGAAGATGAAGAGGACAGAACGAGTTAAGGGGAAGAGTAAATAAAGAGAAAGTGAATAAGGAATTGAGGGAAGGGATAGGAAGAATGCTGTAAAGAAGAGGGAAAGATAAATAATGAAAAAAAACGAAGTGAGGAAGAGGGAAAAGGAGAGTAGTGGAGAAGGGAAAATGGAACAGATCGAGAAAGGAAACAGGAACAGAGAAGAAAAAGACAAAAGGGGTAAGGAGTGGGTAGGTGTGTGTGTGTTTGTATGTGTATCACTGCATAATCCGTATTTAACATCCGTTATTATCTTCCGGCAATATAGTAATATATTTATTACATACAAAAGGGAAGGGGTATATTCTAGCCTAGCAGGGTATATTGTAGCCTAGTCAATTTTATAAATGATCTGGCCTAACTTATGACCCCGGGTAGCCTATATTCTGTACGGGAGTAAATTCTAGGCTATTCGTGTTAACAGTTAAAACATCAAAGGTCAAAGGTCATATAGCACTATGGGAAAGTATTTTTGCGAAAAGGGTAAAAAAAAAAGGAGTTCACGATTAGGATAAGTGGACAGAAGAAGGGGATGAAGAAGAGAAGGAAGAGGAAAGCTTCAGTCTCCGTCTCCTTAGCCCCCCCCCCACGGCAAGGGGATGAGGGGGGAGGGGGGTCCGAGCTATTACATTAGGTGTATTTAGTTTCTTTTAGTTCCATAATTGTTGCAATTGCCGCTGTTGCTGTTGTGTAATATCTTTTTAAAGTGTATGGATGTAAACTGATGTATTTGCAATATACTATATAACTATATTAATAAAAGGAAGTACTGTATTTATCATACCGTCTGTTTTACTGTTTTTATTTGGTGTTTAAATGTTTTATTTGCTTTGGTCATAAATGATAATTTTGAGGATGGTAGATTTATTTTTTACAACATATTAGGAACTCAAGATACACACACACACACACAAAACAAAACAAAACAAAAAAACACACGTACACTCACAAACACACACACACACGCACACACACACACACACACACACACATACACACACACACGCACACACACACACACACGTACAAACACACACACACACGCACACACACACACACACACACACACACACACACACACACACACATACGCATACACACACACGCACGCACACACACACACACACACACACACACACACACACACACACACACACACACACACGTACACACACATGCACACACGTACACACATACACTCAAGCACACACCCACAAATTAAACAGTAATTAAACGGATCTGTCGTATTAACTATTGAAAACAGATACATGATCATTGCAATTCCCGAATGATTAAGATTAAAACCATTTGTTTATTCCTTAAGTATTTTTAAGTATCTGTTAATTCATATACTTTATTCATCAGTAATCACATTCACATATTTTCCTGATATTACTTATTCTTGTATTGTCATTATCATCATTTTTTTTGTTATTATTACTGTTTGTACAGTTGACTCCATTATCATGTTTGTTACCATATGTATTTTTATAATGATTACCAATATAATTTCTATAAATTACTTTTAATTGCTATTACCGTTATTATTAGCGACGCGTCATTACCAGAATTATCATTATTACTGTCAATTTGCTAATATAATTATTTTTATTTTTCATTTTCATTTCTTTCTTCTTTGTGTCCCGTCTTCGCAACAGAATTGTTAATTATAGTTATTATCACGTTTAAATCACCATCATTATCATATTGATATCATTACAAAATATAATCATCATCATTAACCTGATTTCTCTTATCATCATTATCAGTTAAATAGATATTATCATGATATAACTTCTAACTGATCATTACCAATAGACAAAAAATTGCTAAAAAAAAAAAAAAAAAAGGAGTTCACGATTAGGATAAGTGGACAGAAGAAGGGGATGAAGAAGAGAAGGAAGTTTGACTCCATTATCTGTTTGTTACCATATGGATTTTTATAATGATTACCAATATAATTTCTATAAAGTACTTTTAATTGCTATTACCGTTATTATTAGCGACGCGTCATTACCAGAATTATCAGTATTACTGTCAATTTGCTAATATAATTATTTTATTTTTCCTTTTCATTTCTTTCTTCTTTGTGTCCCCGTCTTCGCACAGAATTGTTAATTATAGTTATTATCACGTTTAAATCACCATCATTATCATATTGATATCATTACAAAATATAATCATCATCATTAACCTGATTTCTCTTATCATCATTATCAGTTAAATAGATATTATCATGATATAACTTCTAACTGATCATTACCAATAGACAAAAAATAGCTAAAAAAAAAAAGTAATTAATCTTTAAAAAGTCAAAAGTAAAGGAAAAAATAAGAATCAAGATTAAAAACATCGGGGGGGGGGGGGGGGGGGAAATTAAAACTCACACATACGGACATTTTGTTTTATTAAAATTGACTCTAGTTACATGGCACCTTCTGCTCTCCAGACGCTCGCACCGGGAATATAGAGGATTTGGAAAAAAAAAAAAGATTGGATACGTAGAGAAGAGGATTGGAAAGAGACATAGCGAAGGGGATTAGAAACATACTGGATTGGATACATAGACAAGTGGATTGGAAAGAGACAATTGGGTTCTTAGAGGAGATGATTGGAAAGAGACAGGATTGGATACATAGACAAGGAGATTGGGAAGAGACTGGATTGGATACATAGACAAGAAGATTGGGAAGAGACTGGATTGGATACATAGACAAGAAGATTGGGAAGAGACTGGATTGGATACATAGACAAGAAGATTGGGAAGAGACTGGATTGGATACATAGACAAGAAGATTGGGAAGAGACTGGATTGGATACATAGACAAGAAGATTGGGAAGAGACTGGATTGGATACATAGACAAGAAGATTGGGAAGAGACTGGATTGGATACATAGACAAGAAGATTCGAAAGAGACAGGATTGAATACATAGAGAAGATGATTGGAAAAAAGAGGCGGGATTGGACACATAGAGAAACGGATTGGAAAGAGACAGGATGAGATACATAGAGAAGAGAATTCGAAAGAGACAGGATTGGGTTCTTAGAGGAGAGGGCTGAGTAGAGATTAGATACATAAGGGGGATTAGGAAATGATTGGATATTTAATTAAGAGATTGGATGCTTCAGGAAGAGGATTGTGTAGAGCTTGATTACTTATAGGAGAGGATTGGATAAAGATTGGATAGAGATTCGGTAGGGAATAGACACACGGAGGCACAAAGATTTGATGCATAAGAAGTAGGACTGGATAAGAATTGGATAAATAGGCAAGAGAAATGAGATGGATAAAGAATAGATAAATAAAGAGGAAATGGATAATGAATAAATACAGAAGACTGGATTTAAAAAAAAGGAGTAAGAAAGAAAAAGGTGACTGGATAGAAATTGGATAAACGGAGGGAATTGGATAACAGCGATGGAAGATGGATAGACAGAGGAACGGATTGGGTGGAAAGGATAGACAAGAAAGAATATACAACCATTGTGAAGAAAAGGTGTTAGAGAAAGAAATGAAAAATAATTTATACAACCGTTGCGAAAAAAAAATGTATAACCAATAATAATAATAATAATAATAATAATAATAATAATAATAATAATATTAATAATAATAATAGTAATAAAATACATTTGAGGGAATATAATACAACCCTTTGTGACAGAGAAAGAGTAAAGGATATTAGAAGAAATGCAAGAATATACATATATATATATATAATAAAACAGCGGAAAACATATCAAATAACTTGGAAGACTTGTTGCAAAATCAAAGGAAACAAAACGAAGGATTTCAAAAATGTGGAGAA